CCCCAAAACCCCAAAACCCCAAAACCCCAAAACCCCTTTATTGCTAGCAAAGATTGGGTCAACAAATTTTTAGAAATATAATAACACGATTCAAAATGAATATGGATGATCAAATCCTGCCTCTTTTATATAAACAGGCGACACCTGTCATTGTCGGAGAATATTTTAGTAACTATACAGTAAGTTTCATGATGAAGACATTGGAAAACTATTGATTTATAGGAAAACTTGTTCAAAATATCTGAAACAGTGTACAAAGATAAGATAAACAAACAAGCCGAGGTCTCAACCTCAGCCGTGCCAAAATTTGTAACCTCTAAGGAGTCAGCCTGGCTCAGTAGCCTTTCCTTTGATAGTTCTAACAAACTTAGTCCCCCTCCTGAAGGCTTTCAGAAAGCGTTCACCGAGCGGAAAAAGTCTGAAGAAGAGCTCAAAGATTCGTCTAAATTAGACAAAGAGCCCAATTCATCTCCAACAATCGAGATAGATCTAGAAAATGAAGAGGAGAAATAAGGTGATAATGGAAGAAGATAAAACTCTTTCTTACGAACTTCCTGTGATGCAACCTCATGCTCACAACTGAAGAAAGACTACTAAGAAGGTGTTTACCAATCAATCGCCTCATTGGAAGCGAATTGATGTGAAGCAAAAGAAGATCACTAGGGGTTTGTCCCATTTATGAAAATCGTTTATTAACAAGTGGATGAAATCAAGCAAAGATCGTAAATAGAAATTTCTTTGAAAGCTTAGACTATCTACTGAAAGAGTACTTCCCCTCCATTTATCAAGACAAGAGGATCGAGGCACTTGGAAGTATCGGAAAGATCATCCTTATGATTAAGTTCGAGAAGGAGGTCAGCTCCTCTAAATACCTCACTCAGAAGGAGAAAACTAAAATTTTAAATTACGGAAAGAATTTTACGAAGTGTAAAAACAAATGATCTACATCCAGAGAGCGAGAGATGATCTGTGAAAGTGGCCCTGTGCTCATGGGGAAGATCCTCTACATTTCCTCGGCCAAATTACAAGAAGAATTCTGGGGAAAGATTTTCTGCAGGAAGAATCAGATAATCTTTAACAGGGAGGAGTACGTCACAACTTTGATAGAGGACATCGAGAGAATCCCTATCTACACAACTATTGATTTGGATGAGTTTTACAAGAAGGAAAATCTTTAAGCTCCATTGTTGCTCATCCCGCCTGATGGTTAAACATGAGGTTGCTAATTCTTATAAATTTGTTTAAAAATTATGCAAAATTTTGAGCTGGTTCCTGACTGGGGAGGTCCTAGATAGATAGAAAATTAGGGTTTAACCAATATTTTCTTTTAAATCTAGTGAATAAATAATCTGATAAGGACTTCTAATTGCTTTTAGAATTAGCTAAAGGCATTGAGTTCAAATAAATTTTAACAGCGAGGGGTTTTGGGGTTTTGGGGTTTTGGGGTTTTGGGG